ACATGTTGGAGCACGTGAGGACACGCGCGGAATACTATTGAGCAGTTCACACCAGCGCCTGGAAGCGCCGTGACCATCTAGTTTCCATATGCGTCGATTAAGTGTCACGCCAGTCCAACTTACATATCTTCAGTGAGGTTGTTCCCTTACTTGATCTCTTCCTCTAATTCTTTTAGACAAGTCTTCCTTGTCTTTTTCCTTCTTTTGTCCTTTCTTCCCAGGGGCCATGCGTGGAAGCTTTTTCGAACGTTTCTTCTAGTATGTATCTTCAGCTATCTAGTCTCCATGTGTGTCCACTGGGCTTCCAGGTGCATGCCACTGTTCAAGAGGTCTCTGCCAGTCTAGTTTACATGTTGCGAAGCCCTTTCCTTTCTTGGTTTCTTCCTTTCACGTTACTCCTTTAGACATTTCTACATGTTCTTTTCTTCTCTTTGCTTTTGTCTCCTTTCGTTCCTTTCATTCCTCCTTCCACTTACCATTTGACCCTAGGGTCCATGTATGGAGGCATTAGTGATTGCGTTTGCGACTGCATTTCCAATATGTATTCTTAGCTATCTAGTGAGCTAGGCCCCTGTCCCAGAAATCTTAACTTACATTCTCGGACGTCCCTTAATAGCGCTGTCACGCTGTGTGGCGCATGTTTTACGTTAGGCAGCGCATCCTTTCCTAACCCAATGGTTCTCGAGCGGGGTTGCTGCCAACTAGTGACATGTGAAAGCAAAGGACACCCCGCGTCAAAGCAAGCTGGTTAAGTTGAGACTCCGTTTTCCTTTGTTTCAGTTCGTTCACGTTTGCTGGCCCCGATGCGTCGAACCCTACGCCTCAACTACCAATGAATCAGCTGGTTTATGGATCTGTGCTCTCCTCCTCGTTCTTTGAGATGAAATGGGAGTCGGAGGCGCCCACAAACAATACCAACTATAAACTAGCTCTGAAAAGATTCTGTGGAACTTGGCGGAAGGCATTCGCAGCTACAGTAAGAAGGCATCAGGCACGAAAACGAAGCCCGCATTCTGTACCACTGCCACGCCATGTGCATTTCCAATAAATTTGTAGCTGCAAATAGGAAAAAAGCGTCGATCGATCCAAGAAAAAAGGAAGTGTCGATCTAGTACAAATCATAATCTTTACATTGGGATCGCAAGCACTCAGTCGTGACTAGGAGGTCGGGGTCTGGGTCGAATCTGTTTTCAGACTATAGCACTCACCGGACAGAAAGTCATAAAAGCGCCAAACACTTGCAAAAATACAGCATTTCAACCGCGCGCAGCCCTTAGCAAACTACTGCGTATTTTTGCAAGCTCGTCCATTTTCTCTGGCAGCAATACCGCTCTAGCCAATGTCTCAGTTGTACGCTAGCTCATGCTCACGCGTAAAACGTGTCAGTTCTTTCACTATATTTCACGTCGAACCTACTTGGATTTAATTGGATTTTCCCACAGGGACCAGCAACGAAGCCTGGGGTATGCGCTATGTACTTTGAAAAACGATGGACATGACCCATCATCTTCTCCACCTTGGCGTTGCGCCCCCGCACTATGCTCTCTAGAAAACAACATCTCGATGGATGTGATCCATCATGGTCCATCGCTCTTTACCCCCTTGGCCTCATGGTGATAGAGATACAAATCATTCAATCTGCCTGAACCTCAGCGCGAAGACTTGCTGCGCCACCGCGCTCGAACAAATCACTGCTTTTGGCACCTGCATCCAAGCAACCATCGTATCCTCCAAAGATGTAAAAACCACCTGCGGAGTCGCTCCAAACCATGCTGCGCCGTCGTCGCGGGCTCGGCGCTGGGCCGTTTGCGGTGATCTGCTGCCACAGGTTGGCCTGCGGCAAAACACAGGTTGGCGCTGGGCCACTCGGGGTGATCAGCTGCCACAGGTTGGCCTGCGTCTGTGATGTCGGCGTCCGTCTCACACTCGTCCAAGTACTGATGGAACCCCCATGTCTCAAAACCACGCTGATCCGAGCAGATGCAAAGACTGTTCAACTCTGGCGATCAACAACGGCCGTTGGGTTGCATCAGCCGTTGAACACAAGGGTACCTTTTTCAGCCATGCATGTGCTTCCCATGCAGTTAGTTATGATCGTTGTATGAATAGTCTAGACATATGGCAACGCTGGCAGCCCCGCCTGGTTCGAGTGCAAGTTTTGCATCGTTTTTGCCGATTTTGGGGAAGTAAGCTGCGCAGAAGCAGCAACTTGAGAGAGAACACGTGGACAAAGGTTGGTACAGTTGCGAGAAAGGGTCCGCCCACAAAAAGCAAAATGAAGGGCAAGGATGTGGACTTGATCCCGAAGGTTAGGGGGCCGCAGCACCCCATGTACTCACTTGTGCACGCCACAGTCAACCCACTTGCAAACGCAAGGTCAACACGCCAAACCCATAAAATCCAATATTGCGAAGGGGCGATGTCCGCAAACCCACCTGCGCCTGCCAAGTCAAATCGCTTGCGCGCGCAGCGACACACTTTTGCGCGCAGGCATGTAGAAGCACCATTTGGAGGATTGGGTTTCAGGTTGAGTGGTTCCTTGCGGCTCGGAATGGTCCCTTCCTGCTCTAAATTAACATCGGGCCAAAACGAGAGATGCTATGCTGGATGGCTGCTGGCCCTCAAAAATTTACCCTCGGGTGGCTCACAAAAGTATGCTACCTTGGAGTGGCTCTTGGGCTGCTCACAGAGGGCACGCCGTTGGAGTGGTTCCTACCTCCTCGAACCTTTTGGCGGCCCACAAAAGCTATGCAAGGTTGGAACGACACTTTCCGTCTAAATGTTCACCGGCTTGGGCGGAAAGGCTTTTGCTTCAAAATGCACATCACCACCATCTTTGTTGGTCGTTGGAAAAGCAGTTTATGCGTTGCGCCCCATGTGTCTTCCAAGCCCTTTCTACAGCCTTACGCGACTTGGGCTTGGATTTGCATGAAGCTTCAATATAATACGACTCTCAAACATGTCATGGTCAACGCGCGCATTAGCATTCACCAACAACAAAAGACTGACGCCTGACGCTAGGAAACTATCCCGGAGCATGCGGCACGGCAAAACTGGTTGAACCCCACCTAAACTTGCAATCAGGGCTTGCGCGGTCCAGTTGCTGCTTGGCATGAACACGTGAGGGGACGCCCGCGCACCATGCTCTCTAGAAAACAACCTCTCGATGGATGTGATCCATCATGGTCCATCGCTCTTTACCCCCTTGGCCTCATGGTGATAGAGATACAAATCATTCAACTCTGAACCTCAGCGCGAAGACTTGCTGCGCCACCGCGCTCGAACAAATCACTGCTTTTGGCACCTGCATCCAAGCAACCATAGTATCCTCCAAAGATGTAAAAACCACCTGCGGAGTCGCTCCAAACCATGCTGCGCCGTCGTCGCGGGCTCGGCGCTGGGCCGTTTGCGGTGATCTGCTGCCACAGGTTGGCCTGCGCAGTAGCCAACACAAATGTGCAAGTAGCAGAACGCGTGAAAACCTCAAATAGCACGTTATTGTCTATCCTTTATCTTTACACCTCCCCGTCAAAAGAAATATGAATCACTGGTGGTTGAAGCGTGTTATATGTTTAAACCAATTATCCGTGTTTCCCCTCAAGGCCTCCCTGGCGTAAAAATATAAGTCATTCAAGTAGTCACTACCTCGGCACCAGGACGCGTAGCATGACACGACGCAGGACCTCACACAGCTCACTGCGCTTTGCACCTGCGTCCAAGCTGCCATCAGTTCCTCCGAAGATGTAAAAGCCACCCGCGGCGTCGCTCCAAGCCATGCTGTGGCTAGACCGTCGGCTGGGGACTGTGCCGTGAGGGGTGATCTGCTGCCATTGGTTGGCCTGTCACAACACACTGGAAACTTGCCACGAAACAATTTTATCCAAGTAGCAGTGCAGTCGGTCAGTTGGCAACGCAAAGCCTCGGAATACTCAGAGAACACGAAACCAAATATTTTATTATCAGGATATTGGCGTGCGCGCGCGACATGTAAGAAATATTGCAACGCATCAAAACATGTTGAACCCACCTGAAAGTGCCATGAGGGCCTGCCCTGCTTGACATGAAGAAGCGATAGGGGCCCGCACTTTGCACTGCGCAAAAGAAACTCTATGGATGTGGTCCATCGTTTCTTTCGTCCTCGGCCTCATGGACATACAAGTACAAGTCATTGAACCCGTCAAAACCTCAGCATCGAGATTCATTGCGCCACGCTCAACCAGGTCACTGCTCTTTGCACCTGCGTCCAAGCTGCTATCCCATCCTCCGAAGATGTAAAAGCCACCCGCCGAATCACTCCACGCCATGCTGTGGTATAGTCGCCCGCTAGGCGCCAAAGGTGTTCTGTGGGAAATGGGCCACCAAGCGTCCTGAGCCGATGGGACCAAGGCTGTGAGCTTCGAATGATTCAACTTGCGTGACGTTAGCCTGAGCTGCAAAGAGCGGGAGGACCGCAACCAGCTGTATGCACCGCCTGCTGCTGTTTGCATCTGTTTGCAAGATTGGCGAATGGCTTGAGTGCTCTTCTTCTTGCTCAGGGCAGCACCAGGTGTGCAAAACAGCAACCATGTCTACCAAAACACCTGCAGGCCACTGAAAAAGAATGAACTCTTTTTCCTGACTTATGCAAAGAAAAATGCGCTCTGACCGTGTGCTCCGTCTCACCTGGCCGTGGTGCAAGCGCTTTCTCCCAAGTCTTTGAGCCAGAATGGAGCTGCGAACCGAGTTGGCCAGAATGGAGGTGCGAACCGAGTTGCCATTTGAAGGCCGAGATCAAACCATCGAAATCTCCCTGCAAGAAACTTCTGACTGGTGCTTCTTCTACAAAGGGCCTGAAGACCCTTAAAGTTCGTGTGTCACAGAACCTGCCTATTGGATCGTACTGGCACAATCAGCGCAACTAGCAGTAGTTCAGATCCATCTTTCTTAGCGCTGTGCAAGTGACTTTGCAGGAACCACACAGCGGCGCCGGAGTGCTAGGGGCCTTCACGCAACTCACGCATCTATGCCACTGCTGTGGTTGCACCTCCAATGTTGCGTGGCAGGGAGGCTTACCCCTCACCAACATCCGGGACAAGACGGGCTTGGAAAGGTATGCGGCATGCATGGTGACATGGCAAACAGGTTGAAATTAATTCAAAAGCCGGAACAGTCTCAAGTTGGATATTGATTTTCAATGATGTTCATTCCATTTCTGCACTGTGAAACCTCTTGTCTGTCAGCTCTACAACAGTCAGGACAAACTGAATCCTGCTCCTCTTGCCAGTTGCCATGAATATGAAGCCGTGGCTTTGGACCTGAGTGAACACGCGCGATGACATTATGCCAGAGCAGCTCCTGCCGACGCATGTGATTGCACTTAACGATGGAAAGATTGATTGACGCCATGCTCGCCTTATAATACAGGCCACTCGGCAAATCACGAAGAGATGAAGGGACAACGCGAAAGACGAAGATTGGGGATTTTCTTGCCGGTGAATCGATTCAATTTAGCTTCGAACTTTTCCATGCGCGTGAGATCATTAGGACCATTGTGTCGGGCCATTGCAATAGCACCGCAGATTTTTTAAGGGTGCAATCGACCTTTTTCCAGCTTCGGCACCGGTCATCAAACGCCATTCTTGTTTCTTGCAAAAGTGTTGTAATGTCGCAGCACAAGACCACAGAAACACCAGCACCAAGAGCAGGACCAACCCGGCCATGTCTCCGGTGTCTTGAACTCAGATTATGTTTGGATGCCTCGAGCACACTGACTGCCAAAGCACCTTCGGAGAGCTTCTCACCCCAAGCTGCCACCACATGAGTGAAGTAAGGAGGCAAATTTTGGCGGCGTGACTATATACCTAGGGCCGCAACAGGGCTGCTGGTAGTGGATTGCTCAGAAAGCGAAGGTTTCTTAACTGTGTCTGATGGAAAAAGGATGCCTCCTGTGAAAGTGGCACTCGTACAAGCCAAGCGGTGGTGATTTTGCACAGGAGTTCCACTAACGGTCCGTCACCGTGTAGGAGCATCAGCCTTCGCATCTCCTGGGAGAACTGGTGATGTGATCAGAGGGAGTGATTGCGAAAGAGTCATTGAAACACCTATGGTGGACATCTTGATGGGCACCCACCTGCTTGCAGCTATCAGATTCCCTGACGACCAAAGAAAGTGCTGAATGCAGCGGATGCCCTTTTTTAGAGGAAAACATGATGGTTCAGAATACTGCGGAGCAACAAGCTTGCAGAGCCAAGGCTAGACAAAGGGCGCTAGACGCAAGATTGAGAATTTGGCCACTCAAGGGCTGGAGGATTTTGAGACTTCCGCCCTCCTCAAGCTCATGGTCAACTGCCATGTCAAGAGCGGGAGACTTCTTTAAATAGGAGGGGACACGCTTGGTGACTTCCACTTAGCCAGACCCTTGTTGTTCACTGTTCAAAATAGAGCATGGTTCCTTGATCACGTCGAGGGCGCATGGAGAAGTGGGAAGATCAGAGAAGCAACAGGAAACCTCTTACCAGATCCTCGAGTTGCAGTGCGAGAAATTTCAGGTAACAGTGCCTGAGCTTGGCCATGAATGCTGCAAGTTGCATGATTTGGTGTGGAACCGGATCTTGCGATGGAGCTCGAAGGGCTCGCTGAGATGTATCATAGGGCGGCTGATGATGAAGGGTGGTCAGTTCCAGCCCTTTCCAAGGACGGGATGACGCAAGCGCAAACAAAGCCCGGGTTCAGAGCTTCTCCGAGGTGTGTAGAGTGACTGCTCAGCTATTTTCAGAGACTGGATTGCACATCGATTTCGGATGTGTGTGAAAGTCTCATTACTATATCCAGCCATTTGTCTTGTTGCGTTCTCGCTGAATATGGATTAGGCCTACTCTGCCAAGGCACTAGCTGGCAGGGGAACAACAAATCAGCTATAGTCCGAATAAGTTATAAACATAATATACCTAGAACCTCGGTGACCTGTATCTTGTTTTTGGAGGATCAACTGTCCATAGTATGGCCTTTTGGGTCAATGGGTTCTAGGTATACATACCTGAGAAGGGGGGGAACGAAAGCCAGCAGCCGCCAGACGAGAGGGTCAAAAGAAGAAACCATCTAAGTAACACATGCTTGCTAGTTGAGGATATGGTCAGAAGTGGAGGTCGCCAGTTCGACATGCAGTTTGCATCGTGTTTTCCTGCCTAACAAGGGTCTAGAAGTGGGTAGTCTGTCAACATCACCTGCATCTCTCAACTTGGATCTATGCATAACAATCGCCCGGTGTGGGCTTACCCGGCTGGATGCCATGCTGCATGCTGGCCGCATGGCAAGGGGTTTGTGGGGTTCGAAAGGCTAGTGTTTCGAACCCCACAAACCAGGCAGCCGGCTTGACTCAAAAATGGCGCATAGGCACTAGTAACAAGAAAGCTTTCTAGTAACTACAAGCTTCCTCGCGAATCACGTCACCTCGAATCGTTTCACATTTTTAGATACAAGAAACTTTCTAGTTTCCTGTCTTTGTTTTCTTTGTACGCCACGGCGCGTGGCATGAGTCAGAAGTTTTGGACCCTAACATCGCCCGATTTTTCAATCGAGATGCTACTGTCTGTACTAGCAGTACGGGCAAAATGTGTCGAGCGTCAGATTCTACCCAGGATTGTGAAACTAGTCACGAGCCAAGTATGGGTGGTTGTTTATCGTCAACTCGCTGATCCGAACAATGCACACTTTCCCCCGTGTCTCACTGTAGACTTCGATCTGACCTTCCTCTTGCTCCATCATCTGCTTGGTAGCCTGACTTGGCGCCGTGCAAAACTTGCTCTACAACCGTGTTTTGTCGGTGCACAAAGCAAAGGTTGCCAAGGCCTGCTCCGTGGGCTGGTCGATGATCAGCACATTGATCCCATCATGCGCGTAAAGCAAGTGCATGTGCTCCAAGGCACGCTGAAAGGACTTGCGTTGGTGCTCTGTGGCACGGGGATACTGGTAAAGGCTGGTGTAATCAAAAAAGACCCAAACGAGCCCGTCCAGGTGCTGTAAACCACGCACTGTCTCTTGAAGTTGGTATCTCCAAGCATCCGGGTGTTCCATTGCTTCCCATATGTGAGAGACGGAGAAAAGGTGGACTTCGACAGTTCCTTCTGCCGTTTGGTAAAATCTGCGCTTGTCCGCATCATACCTTGGCAGCTACAAAGGAGCCGAGCCGAAAATATGCGCCCAAGAAGCTTGCATTACTGTAAATACAAACAATTGTACTGCATGAGCAAGGAAACAAACACTCTACCATTTCTTGACACGAGAGGGCAAGAATCAGTAGTATAACATGGCAGGCGCACAGCGACCTCATACGACAACCAACGTTCGAAACAGTAGCTGACAAAGAGAACAAGGAGAAGACCTCAGCAAAACCGATTGCAGCATCCGTCAAAACTCAAAATAGAGGGGCCGGGCGACAAAGCTAGAAACAACCACACAAACAAGCAAACGCATTAAGATACAACCATTTAAAGGGAAGTGCAGCGCAACTCAAAGGTCAGCGCAGCAGGAGTCTCAGCGCTGGAAAGTTGATTCTGGGTGAGGAAAAAAAGGCGGGATCATCGAATCAAGTGGAAGCAACAAAAAACAAATAAATGCCAAAGATGCCACAGACTTTCTAGCTCTTCCCGTGTCACCAATGCCGTTTGGCCATCTTCCATGTTCATATCTTGAGCTTCCTGTCGCCGAGGCCACGGTTTGCCAGCCCTCAGGATCTCTTCCAAAAATTTATACCGCACCGGGCGCACATCCTGAGAAAGTCACAAATACGACAAAGGCCTGGACGTCGAACATCTGAAACAATGTCAATCAAAAAACAAAGTATTGCAACGCAGGTCAAGTCTTTCAACACATTCTGTCCACGCTTGATGCCCCAGGCAGTAGTTGACTCCAACTAGGCCATTTTCAACAAGTTCAGTCTGGGTCTGGGAACCGCATAGAGCAGAAGGTTCTTGACAGCCAAAGGGTTATCGAGCTTGAAGTCCTGACATTCACTGCAACGGTAACAAAAGGACGCAAAAGGTCATCCAATATCAAACATCTCAAAACTCCAAAAATCGACGGCGGGCCAGCCTTCTTTTTGCGGGCAGCTTCCTGGAGGGTGCCAAACGAAACAAGACGACAAACACACCAGTTCGGGTAGGAAGCAGTGTGGCCGAGAACTCAAAGTTTGCACATCTTTATTGGTTTAGGCGCCGGCGCAGCCAGATGCGGCAAGCCAAGGAAAGAAGAATGTCACACTCAACTAATACTCGTCCTGTGATAGAAGCCTTCTCTTGTAGAAGAAGCAAACAACGACCAGAAGGCAGCAGGAGGCTCCCACACTCCTGCAGGTCGCAAATCACAAACACTGTTGAGATTTCATGCCAGCCGCTCAACCGAGCCAGGTAGCCACCACAAACAAAAGAAGGAACACATATTAGTTGCCATGCTCCATGACCTTCCAGCTGACAAGTTCATGGAGAACTGAAATTCCCGAAGACTGTTGCACTTCACTCCAGAGCATGTAAGACTTACATGTTGTCAAGTGAAACTCAAGCGGCCAACTGGCTCAATTCCAACTGAGGCACAGCCCAAGGACAATGAGAGCGAAGTCCACCGCAGCCTTCGGCTTTGTTACATTGGGGTTGGAGCCCTCGTTGCTGGTGATGTTCACCACAGCCACCTGGATCTGGCGGCGCATGTGCTGGTTAAGCCAGCAGTTTTGGTCGCCAGCACTGAACAATATCATTCCCTCTAAGCACAAAAATACGAGAACGGTGAGCAGCAAGGGCGAAGCAGTCTGGTGAAACGGCTTCTCCTAGGAATGTGGAAGATCGGGCATGAACCGGCATTTCACCAGACGCTAGACCCTGAGGATAGCATGACTTTGCAGGTGTCGACACTTCAAGCTTTCGCGAGAAACATTCGCTGAGCTTACTCGCTTTGCGCTGCTTTGCTCTTTGATTTTGGAACCCCTGTTCGGTTCTTTGCGGTGGTGCGGTTTGGTGTTGGTTTGTGGCGTTTTCGATTGGTTAAACATTGGTAGCGGAGCCCGAGGGGTTAAATCCGCGGTAGTTGAGGGCTTTGTTTCGGTTGTTTTGGTGTTAAGTTGGTCTTAGGCTGCCCTGCTTGCTCGGGACGGCGTGGCGGAACCTGAGCCGGTGTGGATGGACCCTGCCGGCACGGATCATGCTGATCCTTTAGCTGTGAACGATCCAGGGGGCTTTTGCGACACCAGCTGGTCAACCGTTGAGCTTTGGGCCTGATTTGAGGGGTACGCATGTAGGTGATGATCCCCCTCCAATCGCGACTGTTTTTTCACCAGCAGCACCGCCTGTGGGTCTCCAGGTTATCCAGTTGGAGGGTTTCCAGGTGGTCCAATGCGCTATGAAGGATGGCCTCCATGTGGTTGGTCAATGCCTGGACAACCACCCTTTTCCACTATGCCTGGGGGCAACCATACAATTGCTTCGACTGCGTTGCCGGCTGCAGGACCTTCAAAGAGTGAAGAAAAGCTGAAGATAAGAAGCCAAAGCAAAAAGAAAAGCGAAGAAAAGGAAGTTGCAGCTCGAAGTGGAGATCGCCACACGCCCGGCCCGTTCCGGCCGTCGGAAGGGGGAGGCTCAACATCTCCCGAGACATCGGAAGATGAGTCTTCTGTAGAGACCTCAGCAATCCGCTTGATGCTGAAGCGTCGGGTTCAGCAGATGGAGCGCCCGAAATCCAGCCTTGGTTCTGTTCGCATTGAGGAGTTTGCGGGCGAAAGGTATAAGTACACCAAGTGGAAGAAAGCTGTTGAGGCACAGCGGCAGCTTTGTAGGTTAGAAGAGCAGGAGTTGGCGATGTTGGTGTACCTCTCAACCAAACAAGAGGCTCGGGATTGCGTGTACCAGGTTCCGATCAGTGAGTTCACCAGGGCCGGTGGCTTGCGTTTGATTTGGCGGCTCTTGGATGAGGCGTTGGGAGAGTCGGAGGAGGAACAATTCGAGAGAGCTGAGAAAGAATACAACCAGTACCGTCGTTTGCCTGGACAGCCGGTGTCAGCTTACATCGGACAGATGAAGAGGCTGAAGGCCCAGTCTCAGCGTGTTGACCCGGAGACCCAGATCAGCGACAGGGCGTGGGGACAGAGACTTTTGAATCGAGGCAGTCTTTCCCGTCGTGAACGGTTGGATGTTTTCTTCAGTGCAGGAGGCCTCTACGAGCCAGCAGCCATAGAGAGGGCCTTGAGGCATCGTTGTGCCAACACTCATGAAGATGAACGTCGTGTGCCAACCCCATACGTGGCACAGAAGAAGCCGGCAAGCTATTGTGCCTCATGTGGACAAAAGGGGCATTGGCGAGGTGATCCACAATGTCCGAACATGCTTGCAGGCAAGGACAAGCCCCACCAGAAAAAGCCACATGCAATGCCAGCAGCAATGCAGTGCACTTCACCTACGTGGTCACAACGACGAAGAAGACCAAGACGACTCAGGAGGAGAAGAGGACTTCTGGACCTATGATGTCATCCTGTCCGCACGGCAGGTGGCCATGTCTGTCGTCGGCACGATTCTGTTCTCAGTGTGGACACCGCCAAGAGAATGATGAAAGAATGCCAGAAGGCAAGAGGGGATAGACAGTGGTAAGACATGAGGATGAAGATGACGATGCGATCCCCAGTTCGGACAGCAGCAAGTCGGAAGAAAAGCCAAGGACATATCATCTCTGAAAGGGGCTATTTCATGAGGCCGCTGGAGGAGGTGAAAAAGGAAATAGCAAGGAGAAGGTGAAGGCTAGCCCAGAGGAAGTGTTGGCGGCACTTCCAATGATGACGAAAGGGGAGCACATCAAGAAGGCATGACTCAGAGAAGAACAAGAGTATGCAGTATGCCTATGATCGACTGGACAAGGGCAAGCTCTTGCAGAACTATGCCAGTTCAAGTGAGGATGAAGCAGATCCTTATGCCGTATGCCAGTGGCTCAAGACACCAGCTGCCTATCGCACCAAAAGCGAAGGCAGTTGGTGGAGGATACATGGAAGAAGCCAGAAGGAAGGATGTCCCAAAGCCGGTCAAGGATCGAATGTTGGCCAAATTCCATCAGGAGCTGTATGACAACCAGCTACACCACGGAAGGCTTCGACCATCATCCTGCGCACCAACACCCACAGGGTATCAGCCAATGGAGATGGGCATTATGCCGCTTCCCAGGATTGTGGATTGAAGTCAGTGATATATTTCTCTGAACGACACGGTGCTTGGGTTTCCACTTGTTCCGAAGAAGCCCCGGCGCAGCGTGAGATCTTGTTGACCAATGCACCAGGAATAGCCATCATGGATAGTGGGTGCCGGACAGCTGTTGCCGGTCAACTCTGGCATGAGATGAAGGAGCTGGGACTCAACTGGCATGAAGAGCCGGAACAAGAGATGTTCCAATTCGGTTCATGAGGACCAGAAGAAAGCCCAGAAGCCTTTCTGTATCCCGTGGGAATTCACGGGTCTCATGATGTCATCAGAATGTCTTGTGTGTCTGGAGGTGCTGCAAGCTGTCCAGGCCTGGTTGGCCCATCCGAAATGGCTCGGTGGGGAGTGATCATGGATTTCGCTAACAAGAAGATCCAGATCAAAGGCAGCTGGCAAGCTATGGCGCTGACTTCAACAGGGCATCCTGCCGTTTGCCTCTTGCATTTCGGCGCTGAAGGAAAAGACTTCTGGAACAATGATTCAAGGCACCCTGAAGATGCTTCAAAGAGCTCCTCAATCGCCGGCCTCTTCAGCGCAAGAAGTACAACAAGAAGAATCCGAAGAGGAGGACAGGACGGAAGATGAAGAAGATGAGAATAGCGAGGATGAACCAGTGAATGAGAACATCCATGAGGGAGTCAAGAACCTCAAGGCACTGGCCAAGCTTGAAAGGGATCTGAAGTTCATGCCGCTACAGCCAAAGGACCATGAGCCAGAGGAGGATGACGAGCAAGATTGGGAGATGATTCATGAATCAGATGATCAAGAATCCACCACCTCACATGAGTTTGGAGTGCAGGAGGTGGAAGAAAAACAAGACAGTTCCCAAGAGGAAGATGATGTTGATGATGTTCTGCGGCAAGAACAAGAAAGGTGAGATGAAGTGCAACGCCAAAGAGCTCCAACAGGTTTTCGTACAGGAAAGTCGATCAAATCCAGATCCGAGACCAATTGCCTCATTGAAGATCCCCAGAAGATCCAAGACAGGTCATGGAACTTTTCACCTGGACCTGCGTGATTTCTCTTTGCGCAGTGGGCCGAGGCAATTGCGAGATGATGGAGCCAGTGAGTCTGCCCAACTGGCACCGAATTGGCACAAGGCTGAAACTGCGAGCACAAGTGAAGACACAAAGCAGTGCATCACCTCTGCTTGTGTGGCACCTTCTGTGTTTCCTGTGTTGAAAAATGTTTCGGGACAAGATCCGATTGTTTTTTCAAAAATTCAGAAATGACTGAAAGCAACAATGACTTTTGCTTGAGACCTATATCGCGATGATCACCAAGTGGAAGCCCTTGCATACTTGATCCAGACCTTCTCGTGGTGGCATGGCCATGTGGGCCATGGAGTGTACTCCAAGGATTTGGTCACAAGACACCCAAGCTGATGCAGATGAGAACCTGTGGAAGAAAAGACAGAAGGATCGAAAGCTTCTGAACTTCGTGGGTTTGGCTGTGAAAAATCAAAGAAAGAGAGGAGGAGCGGTGCTTGGAGAAAATCCAGCCGGGTCTAAAGCCTGGCAAGAACCAGCCATAGAAGAAGCCTTCGAGAACATGTCGGAATGTATCACTGACATGTGTCAATATGGACTCAAGAAACCAAAGACAGAATTTGAAGGAGAAGAAGAGTTCTTGAGGAAAAGGACAAGGCTCAGAGGCACCAAGGAGATCATTGAGCGACGCAGTCGACGATGTGATGGGAAAGGACAAGTTCATGAACCCGTCCTCGGAGGAGTCAAGATTGGTGGTCATTGGAAGCCATTGTCTGATTTTGCCGGAGGCTATACTTGTCGATTTGCACAACAGGTTGTCCAAGGAGCAGAAAAATACCGCAAGAATGGGAGACGACAAGAAGTCTATGCCCAAAAAGAACTTGTGCCAGAAGAAAGGTTTGAGCCAATGGAAGAAGAGGAGCAGCCAGAAGAAGACGAGGAGATGGAAGAATATCAAATGAAGATGACAAGGCTGGACTTGGTGCGCCGTCGTCTCGGACATCCGTCCAATGAAGTGCTACTCGGACGCTCGAGCTGATTGAGGAGGCAGCCAAATTGAAATGTGATGTATGTGGTTCAGGGGCAATTCCCAGGCGACCAATGGCACAGAGGTCAGACATGAGACCATATAGCGCGACTTGCTCATCTGTCCAAGCCACAGCCCATATTAAGCAGTGGAACTTGCGATCATCTAAGCCACGCGCAGTCTCATCGAGCCCCATCGAACCACATCCTGACCTCAGAGTCAGCCTGCACTTCCCAGCTCACCGCCAAATCCACGTTAGATCTCAGCGGGGATCGATGAAACTTGGCTCTCAAAACATCATCAACCTTCGCCGCCAATCGCGAAGGCCAACACACCAGCACACCAGGCATCTTCTTGACCACATTACAATGAGTCAAGACCACACTACCCCGCGGAACCTCTAAGCCAAGCCTCAAAAATACCAAAACAAACCCGTCGAAAA